ACTTTTCTGATCCATTCCACACCTTTTCTTTCACAATGCAATCGCATTACCAGAACTCAAGTTTATCTTTAAATTTACTTATTTGACGCGTACTGTGCACCTCGTTACCTCGCCATATCTGAATACTGATGAACCGCAAGGGGGGGGGGGGGGGGTTGCGGGGGCTTACCGGTTCATATTTGAACGGGCCTTCAGTTGTTAACCATGGCAATGAAGGCGTCATAGGGTTTGTTGTAACAAACGGGTTAACATATAAGTGACAAATTCAGTATTTGATACTTTGATGTGGTGCTCACGGTACCGACGTGATTTGTATATACTGTCAGTCAGCGGGACGTTTCACTGCTCTTACCCCATTGACTACTGTATTCACACAATCCCTCATGGTTTGATACACAGGCCACGTGGTTCCAGTAAGATATAGGTTTAGAGAGAGAAGTAAGTATTAATCCGTGAGACGGTTTTACTTCTCATTTGAAGAAGTAACGCGTCTTTGAAAGCCAACACCGTGTTTCTCAGTGCTTGGGGTCATTGAAAGGCGCTCTAATGGAAACAGATACTGTCTTAAAACATGACCGAAATCCAGAAGAGATTGGCAGAGAGAGAGAGCAACGGACATCTTACTGTACAAATCAGGCTACTGAGATTATCCTAGTAGTCGTTAATCCCAGCCCCTATATAATCCCTTTAAGCCTTTAAGCATGGTATTGGCTAAATTAATATCCATTGTTTTAAGGGAAACTGTCGATGATTGCTTAAGACTCGAATATTATATCTGCCAAACTAAGGATGGATTCAGAAGTTTGTAAAGAGAAGGGAAGCAAACGTTAGACTACTTTAAGTGAACGTGGTCAATGTGATTCCCAGCTTTTGTATTCAATTTTTAAAGCCTTGCTTTAAAGGATTGATGTACTACTTAAAAACATCGTGATTCAAGCCAGTTTCTCTTAACTTTGCAGTTTCACCACTAAAGCACTGTTCGTAAATCGAACCGACTTGTTAATGTTTTTATCTCTTGCGTCATTTCTAAGCAAGGCTAAGGGCGTGATTAATACGCTAACGGGTCCTATTTACTCAGAATTATGGCACTCTAAAGATGACATAAGCAAACATCGTATGCAGAGCATTGTCCTTCTCTTAGTTCTGCCAGCAAACAGACGTGAGGCATTTTTGTTCATTTCCTCTCGAAATTTGGCTTAAAAGCGGCGCTTCCGTCTTTCATGGCCACACTACAAAGTGAAGAAGAAACACAAATCGCGGCGGACATGTGTTCGGATGGGTGATGCGCTAAAAGCTGTATTTTACTAGACATTATCGATTAAGGATAATTGGGAAAAATAAATTAGACGCAAACCTTGGTGTCAAGTATCGCTCATAGGGGGAATCTCGAGTCTTGGTATGTAACGTGGTTACGGGGGACCAAAGGTTTAGAAGGAGTACGACAGATGCTCAGATTGAGATCAATTACCTAAGCTTTACAAATGCTTAAATTCAATCTTTGATCCAACGCTATGCTAACCCTTACCCTAATTTATGAAAAAGGACCGGGGAACATTGCGAGGGGGTGGGGGACGGGGCGGCAGCGACAGCGAAAAGTTAGAAACCGATGTTAGGGCGTCCGTGGGCTAATAATTTGCAGTGGACAGGATGTCTAATACGACGGTCTCTTTTATTACATGAATAGTTAGTTGAATAAGGTGGAATAATAATTTATATAAACACACTTTAGAAAAATGTTTTTATCTATTCGACATTATAAAACAAACGTACTTGCTCACGATTAATAAAAACTGAATAGCTGACATGATACTTAAGCAGAAACGATCACACTCATAGCGAAACGGCGCCCTACGCCCCCCCCCCCCCACCCCGGGAACGGAGGGATACCATGTGTGTTCCCGAAATCTCCGGCTCGTAACAAAAGAAAAAAGGTCTATACCCATATTGACTTTACACACCGGCCTTTGGCTGGAAGGGGGGGGGGGGAGGGGGTGCTGAAAAGGCTCGTATAACAAAAGAAAAAGGTCTACCCTACCCGTATTTACTTTACACATTGAGTGTGTGGGTGGGGGGGGGGGGGGTGGCCTACGACCACTATAAGGACCTTTTGTCGCCTGTGTAGGATTTCTAAAAGTTGTATGTACCATGCTATTTTCAAGCAATGTGAAATAGATCTCAGGAAACTTTTTTGTGCAAAGACATTTTCCGACGCGATAGTCTTTCACCATGTCAATTTGTTTCACCAAGGTGTACAAATATACATTAGCAGAATGTTTATTACATCAACACGGAGAGAGGCATTGTAACATAGCAGCATTACGATGCTACTTGCTAGATTAAAAACACCGAGAAAGGGTTATAGAAATTGCTTCTTTTTAGATTTGTATAATTTGAGTATACATGACGTAAAAAGATGTTTTTTTTTACAAATTATCAAAATAAACCTCCCTCCCCCTCGCACATCCTCTCTCTCCCTCTCTACTTTACTTTCATCTTCTCTCTCCTACTATCTCTGTATCACCCCTCTCTTTTTGATATTGTCCATCAATCTCTCCCCGTCTCTCTCTCTCTCCGTCCCCCTCTCCTTCCCATCCCTTTTCTCTCTGTCTCTCTCTCTCTGTCTCTCTCTCTCTCTCTCTCTCTCTCTCTCTCTATTTCTCTCTTTCTCTCTGTCTCTCTCTGTCTCTCTCTCTCTCTCTGTTTCTCTAGCACTCTCTTTTAATCCTGTCGTTCTCTGTATGCTATGCAACAACCCCCTAAACTTTCTTTTCTTCCTTCCGATTTTTTAAACTCATGTGCTTGAGGTATTCCGTGTTATGTCAAGGTGCACGTATCATATTTCCTGTCGTGAATCCGTTATATTTGGAGAATGCTTGTCAGCTTATAGCGGTGGAATTGATAGTTTCTCTGGTATTCCCATTTTTCCACTATAAGACATGGATGAAGGTTACATTTACGAATATGTCATGCATTATAATGATAACAATAGTTACATTTGTGTAGCCTAATTCCACCGGTTGTAAGCGATCTACACAGTCATTGCTATACTCCTCATTAAATTCCACGTACAGCGCAAATCCCCATTCTAAACGTCTACCAGGAAGCTTCCCGCTCAATCACCTTTGCAAAATAATGATAACACCATTCAAAGAAAAATAAATTCTGCTTCATGTCGGGTAACCATTTATTCCCCCGGCCGATGCAGAGAAGTGATGAAGATTAAAATGTCTACATTTATGCAGTGTAGATGTAAGAAATGGCTGTACGAACGTGTCGCTCTTCATACTGCACCTTTCATAAACGCAATGAGAAATGAAAGTGAAGCTCGCAATTGCTTCGTGTTATGACTTATGGTCGTTGTACACTGTGTGTCATTTTGCTGCGTCAACTGCTAGCGCAGTCTTTGGCGCGTCGTGAGAGAGTGACATCGTACAGAAATTGAATGTAAAATGATCTTGGCTAGTTTTCGAAAAATGTATTGTGTATACACAAATTATCCGTATGAGAGCATGGCAGTAACGCAGTCAAAATGACGTCTTGTTACTTTAGTATGCAACGGACGTCATACGTTTTACATCCGTGCGTCACTGTGATGTCCGTTGCACTCCGTCATTCAATGATCTTACCAATCATATGAGCGAAACGTTTACACTGTTTATTTTGCATTCCACAACATGGCGCTCACGTTACAGATCGCGCCATTCACTGACGCACTGCTAAGTCAGTAGTTGACTCCTCTCGTTCAACATGCATAACTTTTTATAAGTTCTTTTTGGTTAGGCCTAACAAGCGAAGATTTGTTTCAATGTTTCTTCATTTACACAACTGTATATCGAGGATCGGCATCACTCCGTCTCAATCTTAGTTCGGTCTCAGTATCTCAATTTCAGATATCAGCGGAGTATTGTTAATCCCTCAAGACTTGTTCTCTCGATTATCACTCCTCCCAATCTACATAGATATGTGTTTCTTGGCTGTCTACGGCTGCTCCTATCGGTAATTGAAAGAGAGCCGGAGTGTTGTGTAACCTTAGAATGACATGCTCTTTCCTGTCATTAGGCAAGAGTTCTCCTTTTTCAGCCCACATCTTTTTTCGATTTTTTTTTTCTTCTTCAGCCTGTGATATTTCTTATATTTTAATCATTCACAATGGCGGCAACCGCGTGCTGACGCCAATATCTTTATCAATTTTTAAAGAAACCCCATAACGCCGTCATGTTGTCGTCTTCAGTGATGGCTTACCTATTAAGTTATGCAACCTCACAAGATCAATGAGTTGAAAGCGATTATTGAGTTCTGTTTAGACGATAACAATACAAGAATACAAATTTTTCTGTAGGTATTTTGTCATGAAGTTTGATCACATATGTTTTGCCTTTCATGGTTAGATACGATTTCTTTTCTTAATAAAGAGCAGTCTCTTTTTAAACCCATTTAATTATTTAAAGATAACTGCCAAAACTATACATTGTGAAATAAATCCTTGCTTTGAGATGTAAACCTTGACGCTATTTTCTGCCAGGTTTTTCTTACCTTTACAGATGAATAGAATTCGACCATTGTCTGATTTTTTTAATTTGTGTTTTATTGGTTAATCAAAAGAAATCACATTATTTACAAATAATTTATATAATTAGAAACAAATTCACTAAACAGAATAAAGCAATAACCATGAAGTAAAGGAAGTGGTACAAAATAAGATTTTAAAAAGGCAGAAAATGAAAACGTTACAAAGTAAATATTGTTCAAGAAGGAAGCCCCGGAGACAAAAATGGTGAAACAGAGGACCCCCTCCTACCCCAAACCTACCCATACAGAAGAGCGGCCATAAGTCAAGTCCATATTTATTGTGTTTTGCTTTGAATATGAATGTGCTAAACCATAGCCTATGTAGTAAAGTTACATAAATCGAATTATCAGTACTTTGAATCAAACATGTACCAACCTTTTCTTTTGTTTATATTTTGTAATGTTTTACTCCATTTCTTAACGCATTGCAGGACACTGGCAGGAGTAGATGACAGCTTTATATCTCACACAACCTATACAGATCAGATCACCTTGAACCTAGTCAAAGCAGCTAGTGAGGTTGCAGGTAAGATGACATACACTCTAACATTGAACTACTCTGCAGGCACAGACTCTAACTTTACACATGGAGTTGGGAGGGGTTAAAGGTCTCTCCAAAACACATGTAAATTTCAACAATAAGCACTACATACATGTAGTTATTGTTTTCTTAGTATTTACAAATAAGTACAATAAACAAAATAGATTTAATTGATTTCACGACATTGTTATTGAAATTAACCTTTAACTAAACGCCTTCCTAACACCCATGAGAGAGAAAGTCACTCTCCTCTGAACAAAAATGGAACGTTTGATTATATTTATGCAGTGTGACCACAACAATGCACCTGTCTTTTCAATTTATTTATTGTAGATTGACAAAACTCGGTCATTTAATTCCAAATGTTACGGGACATAGTTGTTTTAAAAGTGTCACCATGGGCATTGTGTAACCTATTTAAATCAATAGCCAATTTCGAATAATTACAGAGACACCTTTTTATTTATGAAACATCTGCCTTTTGTCCCTGCCCAACCTGAAACCCAAGCCTTTCCTTACTCATTAACCCATTCAAAATTAAACAACAACTAATATATGTTTTTTTCTAACCAAGAAAGAAACAATTATTAAAATCGATTAATAGAGTAACCGTGAAATATTTTCTTTCTTCCGATTTTCATGCGTGTCTTTCGCAGGTGAAAAAATTGATTTTCTTTTGTGGCTACCAGTTACTGACGCCAGTAAATGTCAATTTGTTTTTAAATATTGGAAATTAACTGAATTACAATTATAATTAGACCTTGAACATTTGTCGCTCTCCAGCAGGCAGATTCCATAAATAGCGCGTTCAGTTCAGTAAACATATTGTTTAGTTCTATGAGAAAATGTACATCGATTGGATGAAATGTTTTTACTATTCTGATAAGTGGCATACCCTTCACGCTGTCGTGTAATGGCTGGGAGGGGGGAGGGGGTCACAAAGAAGTGGGTCACAGAGAAGTTTTCCTACTGTTCTTTTGGCATTGGTGTAGACAGGATTTATTAGGAAATGGAGGAGCTGTGATTCAACGTATTGAGAGAAATCGCACTTTCTTGACAAAAACAGATGTATAGGAATGATCATTAAGGTACGCAGGCATACGATCATTGCAATATCAATTTCATTCATTGTTTATTATGTTCCATAATAGGCGTAGCAATATATTAGTTTTAATCCGATTGTTCAAGGATCTAGGAATGGGACATTCTCTTGTTTCTACATTGATGTTTTTATTCAGGATTTAACATTCAGGCACATTTGAGTAAAAACATAAATCTCAAACTGACAAACATATACACCACATACCAACGTAAATAGGGTATGCAGATGGCAATAGATATGAACTCTGCAAACATTAACGTTTGCTGTAACCAAAATTGTGATATCAGTCACAAATATGTATGAAGCATCTTCAAGAATGAATCTCATCTCATTTGACTTTGACCTCTAGGTCAACCGATCCCAGTAATCCTGGAGCTGTTCGGGGAGTTCTTCTTCACATTCTGTCAGCGCTCCGGCTACGATGAGATGCTCAGGGTTCTTGGAGGGAATCTCAAGAGCTTCCTGGAGAACCTGGATGCCCTCCACTCATACCTCAGCTTCTCCTATAAGAAGATGGAGGCGCCCTCTTTCCGCTGCGAGAGGAGAACCTCGGACGGAGCACTCATCCTACATTACTACTCTCATAGGAAAGGATTGCACCCCATAGTAGTCGGTAAGGGTGTCAAAGGCCACTTTTAGACAGTTCATAAGTTTATAGTCATTGTATTTGGTAACGGGCAAACGTGCATTTTATTACATAATTAGGAATACAGTACCCACCTAACTAACTTTGTACGCATGGCAGTAGGTAAGAGTCAAATGTTACTAAGGAGTGTATCTCTTTGTAGCTGGTGAAATTTAACGTGGTCTATTAATGCATCACTCTGTGGTAAGAAAACACAACATAGGTTAGTAAGGAGTACACCCATTTGTACTTGGTGAGGGAAACGTCACTTATATTCACAAAGGGAGAAAGAAAATGGATCATATTGCAGTGTATAACTGATAAATGTTATTTTCTCTTTTGCAACTAAAGGAGAAGGAGGACGTGTCAGTCGGCACTAATGCCTATAACGTTGTTTTGATTGTATTGTGTCGTGGTCAAGTCCGTCGACTGGATAACAATAATTGGCTAAACGGCTTAAAAGCATTCGGTCCACTTTTGTCAACCACGCTATGACATAATAATAAATAATAACAATAATAATAAAAACGGTGCTCATAAAGCGCTTACCACCGAAGTTTTGTTCTACAAGGACCATGTTACAATAGACAATTTCCCCCAAGCTATGGGTCACTGGCCATAAGAATAGGTAGAGAGAGATAGAGCGAGAAAGAGATAGAGAGAGGGAGAGAGGGAGATAGAGAGAGTGTGTGTGTGAGAGTGAGAGAGAGAGAGAGAGAGAGAGAGACAGAGAGAGAGAGAGAAACAGAGACGGAGAGAGAGAGGCAGAGAGTTGCATCGGGTGAATCAAAATATTCGGTTACGTTACGAGTTTTATATCTTACTCTGATTAAAATAATAGCAATACAAATATAAGATATTTGTAAGGCGACGAATCCACTTGAACTCAAATGCCCATGGCGCGATTATGAAACAGAAACACACAAACAATATAAAAGCGTCTGCATTATATAACAAATACACAGCGGCAAGACCATACAGAAATGGCAGAACAATTAATTATATGCCGAATTAAAAAGATACTTTAATAAATATTTTTTAACACTTTAAATGATCTGCTTTTACGAATCTCTAGAAGTAGACCATTCCCCCACTTAGTGTTCATTAAGATTAGAAGAACTAGCAATCCAGAAAAACGATGGTTTTGCAAATGCTTACGACTGTTTTTTGTTAACGATTTCTTTGTAAACAGTTGCAAGCGTTTGCAGAACAGTTTTAAGCCTTTGCAATTGGTTGTAAGACTGTGTCCCTGAAGTTCTTTTTACTTCGCCAATGCTAGCGACCACGTGACCATTATGATCGACCCATTAAGTACCAGGAGTTAGCAAAAGGTCCCAAACATCCACAGATAGTTGCAAAGGATTGGCGAATAGTTGCTAATCTTCGCAAATACTGTCGCTAACATTTGCTTATAGTCGCTAATAGTCGCCAATTGCCTTTCGCAAACACTTAAACACTTAAACATCTATTATTAAAAAATCTAATAATATATAAAATGAATGTGATTAATGATGACTCTATAGTTCATGTTTAGAACTTACCTGAGCTTACAGAACAATGCAGTGTAGTAAATCGTAATTCCAATGTATAAAATTTCTGTTTAAAACTTAAACATGTTATATGTTTTTTTTATTTCGCAGCTATAATAAGTTTCCTGGTACATAATACGTCTCCTTCTACTATTATTTCCCTATGCAGGTATTGTTCGAGCTGTTGCAAGAGAGTTCTTTCAAAGTGAAATCAGAATGGATGTACTAGATGAAACACACGAGGAGGAGAGGAATGGCAAAAAGGAACACGTGACCTTTGCCATCTTTCAAAAGAAACTACAAGAAAGTATCGATACCACCTCGCCAAAATCGGATTCCGATAAAACGCAGCAGAGCGAGTCAAAACACAACAAAGAGGTAGAAGATTGTTGTTATTTCTAAAATGTTATGAGAATGCCTCTATAACATAGCATTTGACAAGGAGCTCCAGTAGCATTTAGGTTTGCGTAGAAAAAGATTTATTAAGCGTTCAACTATCTATTTTGCTTTAATAGTTAGTAAACAAAAATCAAAGTAGACGCCAGTAATAGACTTGTAGTGATCCGGAAAGACGTGCAGTTGGAATGTGTCTTTCACTTAAAAGCAGGGTAGTATACTGACACCACTTCAGATTTACGTATACTGCCATCTGTTGTTCAAACTAACCCCGATGGGTCGCCGGCCATTTCCCACAATACATCACCATCTGCATGACGCGCGCACGGTGATGCTGCGGAATAAGAACCGTATATTCCTCTAATTACGCGCGCCTGAAATGTATCGCAATTGAATTTACATTGCAGCAGTGGTAGCGATATTGGTAAAAAAATACCATGCCTTAATTATATTATAGCACTAATTTTCTGCATATTGAGAAAAACCGTTATAGAGGCGAACTCGATTAGATAAATGCTATTCTTAACCAACAAGATGACTGATTAAAAGCTTTATACTAACAATTTGGTAACGTTTTCTTTACAATGATGAAGTGACATACTTTTCTTTACCATAGTTATCTTTACAGCTTCTTCTATTGAGGAGTTCATTTTAACAATTTAGCAATACAAAATACTTTTGTTAGCACTTTGAATAACAATATGTGATCAATGTAGTCCTGAAATAATTCAGGAATACACACAACTATAATCGGTAGTTTTGTAAGGCTTCGTAGTATATGCCTGTTCAATTTTGAATATGATTATTTCTTAATCATAATGTATACCAGAATACGAATGATGTATATTGCACGTGTTACGTTCTTCCATATCATACTACCATTATTAATAACCAGGAAGCTTTGTTCACCTTTAGATTCCTGATATACTTTCTCCTATTCTTTCTGGTCATTTTACGCTCGGGGTATCAATCCATCTTGCACATCCTTCATTTTCCAACCATCTTCTTTTGTTCCTTATCATCCAGCACTTATCTTCAAGAGAGATTCCAAATTCGAGCTTGAAATGTTCAGAACAAAACAGAAACCATCCCCCGTATTACATTTTCGAGAATTCCACGAGCTGCCGCTAAATGTGGTGGAAGTTTCTGGTTGTACTGCATGTGAAAAATAAGAGCTAAGCAAAATTCATGCTTTTCTCAGATGACTACTCACCATGCTGATATTTATGAATATTTCAAAATAGGCAGGCGTAGAGCAGTGCTAGAGCATTCTAGATCAGGAATAATGCTCTTTCTTCGCTTCGTTCTCATTCTGATTTCTAGTTCCATACCGATTATCTTGCAAAAGACTATTTTTGTATCGCGGCAAGGTTCATTAATATTGTTTTAACGGCTTGCTTCTTTCAATCTTTTGAATATTACCCAGAACAACATCTATATCCGCTTCATCAATTGCTGCCCTTTTTGCGGATTCAACAAAATGTTACCATCAAAATATCGACCTTTGAATTAACAAAGAGTTTAAATGTCACTTTTTTAGTGTTTCATTGTTTGAAAAAACGATTCAAAAGGCCTGGAATAAAATTTTAGTAGAACTTCTCTTTCTTCACGCCTGATAAATTTATGTAAAATCATGTTCCTTCATGTGAACATTCACGCAGCTCTGCACCTCCGTTTTATGTCTTTAAATAAAAGGGTTTGAATTTATGTCATGGTCTGGTAAATTCCGCTGTTCCTGGTCAAATAATCTACTTCCGAAAAAGAAATTATTAAAAAATGACAGAATCAAAGAATCACCTGAACATTTCCTCGGGAATTTGGAATCTCTTTTACATGCATGCTACTGCACGTCACGTGACATGACGGGACTATAATCCATTGCTGTGATTGGTTCATGTGATCATGACTACCATCTTTTACCCTCTCATTAGAACATCACTACTGATGATAATATATCGGTGACGTCATCAGAATGGGTGCCTTATAAATGGGTGAGTTAAGTAATCCATTTGATGTCACCACACTACCCCTCGGCGATCGAACACCCACAGCACTATCTTATTAAACATGCACAATATTCTCAGCCAAATATAAACAAAATATCATATTTATCCTTCAAAATATTTGGCTAGGAAATGTTAACGAGTGTTATGTTTGGTTTGCAGTGAAAATAAATAAACAAACAAACAAACTATAAGAAAACTAGGAATCATCTTACCATGCTTAATAAAAGCTGCGATTGAGTTTACTATCAATCTCAATGATTTACATCGAGAAAAGAGATTTATATTTGAGTTATTAGTGGGCTTGCGACAAATTTGGATAAATCGAAATTCAAATAAAAAGGGGGCCGCGTATCAAAATAGGAAAAAGGAAGACAAATCTTTGAGAATTTAAAATATCCTTTCAACGAAGAAAAGACTCTCTGTACACGTGACACAGTGAGGTTCGTGGAAACACCCCGCCTTCAGGCCTCCCCCCCCCCCCCCCCCCCGCACAGTAATTTGAAGCTCATTACACAACTCCGTAAGAACGTCTAACCCTCGACGGACGAGTTTGAGAAAGGAACGATTGGTGATTAGTAGCATCGATACTCATCGGTCATTACAAGAACACTTAACATGTAATCCAGCCGTAATCAGACACTTGATTCGAAGATGAACTCTTAGTTGGACAACTCACCTAAAACGCGGTGATCCCCGAAGTTAATTGTCGAAGAAAAGAACACAGAATAGAAAAGAAAGCAAATCCGACATCAAAGGGATCTTTTTAGTGCATTTCTGCTTCTACCTTTAACCTCTAATACAAAATGAAAGTAGTTTAGGATAGCTTCTATAGATGCGAAAATGATAGATATACATTGACAGTGCTGTCATAGACTTTAAAGTAAAAATAGCATAATGTTATTTCCATAAATGACGTCTTCTAAATTTGCTGAATAAATTTCTGAAACACAAAACTAAGCTTTATGTACGCACAAAGATTAAGATTAAATTAAAAACAAATTAGAAGATCACTTTGAAGAAATGATATAAGCAAAATGCTCTTCTCTTTAACAATGCCATATCGCTTAATCCTTAACACGGCTACTCCTTAAACGAACGTCAACATGATTAAATCGCTTCTATGCATTATAAAAGAAAGTCAATTTACCGCGGCTAAAGTAAATAGTATATTGTACAATTTCACACAACGAGACCAAATAGTAGATGAATTTCCCTTTTTCGTTGAGTGTGTATAAGCATCACTGTTGAATGGAACCGAGCTGATACTGTGCAATCGGCTTAAGATTATGCTCGTCTCTTCTAAATCCGAACCAAATTGATGGATAAGTAGCTGTTTAAAGCTCCCGAGTGGTTCCGATCAGGTCTGTCGCCGTCTTGATATAAAACAATCAGTTTCGGGTCTTTGTACAAGGGGTTCAAAACGGCAACATTCAGTAGACGAAGGTGATTCGCCATCTTGTGCCAGTTGCTTCCTGATATACTGCGATACAATTTCAGCATGTGAAAACACGAGTTACATTTAGAAGGAATTTTACGAGAACTTGGTTATTAAAGGAACTGGAAACAATGGCGCGTAATTTCACAAGTGCTCATGGAGATTGCAACGTATTTGTGAGTATTCCGAGTCGCTAAATATTGCGGGAAATGATTCGTTCGCAATTTGATCTTTTTAAATCCCATTTTGGTCATACTATTTTTGCCCGTATTCGTTTGCATCATGATTTCCACAGTTACTTCAAATTGTTTTGAGACTTACAACTTTTCAATTTGTAGGGGTTCGTTTTAATCAAATGCAGTCAGCATTTCTGTTTTATGAGGAGAGAATGTATTTTGCCTCATTCGCAGGGCAATGGATTCAATTTGTCGAATAAAACGATCAAATCTTGTTCAGATAAAGTTAGGTCAACCAATTTTTTGAGGGGAGTGTTGATCTGTATTATTATACTGGCATGTAGGCTTAATAGTTAATGATCGTAATTGCATGGGTAGATCAAAAGCATGAACGGAGAGTTTATTTGCATCTTATATTAAAGCATGATATCAGTAATCCCCAAGGATGAGTTATCTTATTCAGTACTCAATCATTGCATGAACTTCAATGAAGCCACTCATCATACCAGTCATAACGACTTCACAAGTATTTAATCTCCTCATTCATGTCCTTATCCCTAATGATTTTACACCACCCCAAAATCACATTCTCAAACCAGAATCCATGACGGTCTCTTCTACTCATTTGTACGAGAGGAGTATGGAGAATCCGACATAGCAACAGGTCTCATCACCATTATTGCTATCATAATCAAAACGTGACTTCTATGTTTGACGTTTTGCTATCGCTCGTATTTTGCGAAGAGAGAGTCGAAGTATGCATCTGAAACCCTTCTTACAAATTATATCAGCTATATCACTCATAAATAAATACAGGAATATGTTTATATTTGTTGTTGAATAATGGCACAAAATAATTATTTAAACTTGAATTGTCCCATCCCTCTAATTCCGTGTATTCTGCCATTTTGTATGACTAATGTATGCACACGTTGAATTATTTTGACTTTTAATTTATAATTTATTATTTTTTTACTAACAACATATTGACTTATTTATTGTTTTTAACAAAACTATATAACCATATTTTCCTTTGTAATACCATTAAGTAAACTCTATTATCTACCTATACGAAATAAATTTATTGTACTAGTTTCTTTTACATGTGTTCTGTATGACTTGTTATATTAATTGCTAATATCAACATTTTTCTTTGTTTTGGTCCCTCGACTTCCGGCACATTTATTTCTTCAGGATGAAGACCATGTAAGTATATCATTGCGTTCGGCTTAATTCCTCTATTCTTATTGGTACATATGTATTACCTGATAAGTGTGATCTGATTCGATCGGTCACGTGATGTATGCATTTTGAATGATTGTAAGGCTCAAGCTTAGCCTGTTCAATTATGTGGATGTGGTGTAGAAGTGTCGTGGTATAGTGGTTCATTCACTTGACTCTCAATCTAAGGGTTGAGGGTTCGAATCCCAGCCCGGCACTAACGTCCTTTGGCAAGACAAGACTATTATATGTAGAGTCAGAAGAACCCGCGGTTGAATTTTTCTTTTTTTAGAAGGGCAACTCACTCTAAGAAATACTTGGATTTGAAGTTCAATAGTATTGGGAATATGAACAGTACTGAAATATTTTAATTAGGAAACCTGAGTCTAAGATAAAAAGACAAATGTGTGGGTCCTGGATTAGATTGGAACAGACTTGACCATCAGAAGGGGAACCATGGAAAGAAAACTAAACTATTTTGGGCACATTGTTAGGAGATCTGAAGGTGTTGAGAAGCAAATACTGCAAGGAGCAGTAGAAGGAAAACGAGGTCGTCCACCAATATCCTTGACTGATGATATCAAGAAAGTGTCTGGACAAGGAATGAAAGGTGCAACACAAATGGCAGGTGAAAGAGTTGCATGGCGTACTCTCGTGAAGACCACAGCAGCGCTTTACAGCGCCACCTGAAGTTGATGATGATGATGATGATGAGTCTTGGTTTTTAAAAACGAATCTCTTGTGGTTTTGGCTGGAGATGTGATGAGGAAAAAATAAAAAAATATATTGCAGCCGTATGAGGATCTCTTCTTCTCAAAGGAATAAACAAACCACAAATTACATTCCCTGATTTTATAGATGAACTATGAATACAAGATGAAGTGGTTTGGAGAAATTAAGTTTGAATTTCGAAGATTGCAAATTTCCACATATAAAATTAACGTTAACTTTACAAGACATTTGGTATTTTCATTTATAACTTAATCCCAAAAGGAATTCTTCATCGGCCGCGTCAGAAATATTTGTTAGTAAACTTTTGTTCTCATTTTGTTCAACTTTTTCGGATATAAAAATTGGATCTCATAATTATGAATATCTAGAAAACATAGATGTGTCGAAAAATATGTTTCAAATTGTATTTCCTAATAACTGTACCTGTGTGTGCCCTTAAACGATTTGATTGGCACCGATGTGGCTCGCAGTGTGTTGATCAAAGACTGTGATAGATGTAGGGATATTGATCGATGCAATTATATCATTTATATATCAGCCATTGTTGTTTCTTTAACATTTTAACTTCTATGCTTTTATGGAATCGTATTCCATGACGTATCGCATTTCGATTTTCTCTATTAAAGTGTACAGTGTAAATGTTCAGTTGAATTAAAAATTACAGTTTATGATTTAAAAATACAAATAAAAACCCGTACATTTCATGGTAAAATGAATTATGGATTTAATTTATATTATGCTTTGATATTCATATTATTCTTGTTTATTAGCTGATAGTATAGTAAAGCCTATATCTAAAACAATATATAAAAAATAGACATGGTCGCCAGGGACGTTTTCATGAACATATTGAATTGATTCGGATTTTGTTGTTGTTGAAAAGTATCAATTTATTTATATTCAAAAGCATTCAAAGAATTGGACGCTGTAACGATTATTTTAATCCTATGTTTGGCAGAATGTTCGACAAAGGCAGGCACTGAAACCGAACAATGAACGCCCCGCTACCCTCAACGTCAATTCCTTAGTCTCCCTCGCCAACGACTACGGCAGCTTCAGTCCATCATACCCCGAGAAGCTCTGGTTAGACCAGCGAATGTTCTGCGAGTACTTCCCCTATCACCTCGTCTTTGACTCCAACCTCAGACTTCTGCAATCCGGCGTTCACATACAGAGGGCGCTGCCCAAGCTGCGGACAATGGAAGACACCACTGTGAACGCTCTCTTCAACATGTTGCACCCGCAGATTGACTGGAGTGTGCCCAGTATACGCAAGTTCATCAATATGCAGTTTGTCCTGGAGACGAAACGAGAGATGATAATTCCCGGATGGGGCGAAGAACAACCAATGCTTCAACTAAGAGGTAAATAAGAGTCTTTTATCAACTCAAACATTAATATATTCAACCACAGTATTTCAAAGAAAGTATCAAGTGCACATTTCTTCGAAATCAATCAAGTGAGTACAGGGTTCTTTCGTCCGATAAACTATGGGAGTAGTAGAAAATGTGATTTGTGTACGATGGTGGTGTAATGCATCATTTACAAAGATTAGACATTGCAGGAGGTGAGAATGTTTGGGAATTCACCCTCTCTCTTTTCTTTCTACCAGGTCACTTTTAGATATGGAAGGCATTTTTCTCGTTCTTTAACCTCAGAAAAACTAATGACAATTTGTATAAACAATTGTATTTAGATATAATCTATTTCAATTTTTACCCCGTCATTACTTTATTTATGTATGAAAGTTAAATAGACCATTAGACATTTCCTGAAATATGCTGTGGTTTTTGTCTTTCTTCCTGTTCACCATAGTTCACATATATAGTTAATTCGAGGTAAACCAAATTTAAGTCAAATAAATGGCGATGGTTGCACCATGATGGCGCTCGTCTAAATAATAAAAACATGCGAAATAGACCACCAAACTTCTCGACATCGTATAATCTACTTCGTTGCCTTTAAAAGTAAAGACCAGTTTTGGAAATGCCCCCCCCCCCCTCTCAAGAAATGAAATGGAAGCTCTTATTACCAATCATGTAAAAGAATATGCTTTGACTAATACGTGATCATACAAATTTTGCCGAGAAACCGCCTACTAATTGATATATTTGGTATATTATTATATATATTTGGACTTGATAGATATAACGCACGTGTCGCGCACGTGTGCGTAGTCCCATATACATATTTCTGTGTACAGTGCTTGTAACTTTACGAAGACTGGGCCAAATTTCTCATCATTTTGATGATTCCAGAACCTTGCAGTACACACCAATACTTATATGCTAGATGATCAACCTTTTCTGATCGATTCCACAACGTTTCTTTTACAATGCCATCGCATGACCATAACTGGTCTTATCTTTAAAGTGTCATGTAATACCTTGAGATTAGAACGAACTTGGAGTGTCATAACCTTACAAACAAGCAAAAAAAAATCATTGTTCGGGTCACAACTCAGCTCAGCAGTGAAACGACCTATAATGTACTTTTCATTCTAAATATTTATAGTGTAAACGATTTCCTTGTCATAGCCTTAAAGTGAAAACGATTTCCTATCAAACACCCAACGATCTAACTTATTTCGCTAAAACGCATTAGGATGTTAAACTGTTCATGAACGTCAATTTATATCCCCTGAGTATCATGAAAATTATGTGTATCCTTTGGCAAGACATTGATCTACATTTGCCACACTTAACCCAGGTGATGTAAATGGGTCCCTGGCAGGAATTAATTCCTTGAAATGCTAGAGCGCCGCAGTGGCTGCCTTGCTAAAGCCAGGGTAATAATCGGGGCAGCGTCACAACGTAACGGACACGTGCGCTATTATAAGAAGCCACCATTATCATTATTATTGTCGTTGTTTGGACAACCTCGTTAAGGAGAATGTATTCAATGAATGTCTTGAGATATCATTCTCTATTACAGGCAGTTGTAACCTCTTTCAATTGTACTATAGGTCAAATGATATGGATGGACTCACTGGATGCCATTTTCTGCTTCAATAAAACAAACTTTAAAAAAATAGTATCTGGGTGTATTTCCCCCCTTTTTTTATAGTCATTGCAGTAAATATCGGAAATGTAGTCGTGTGCCGTATGGCTTGTTATAATAAAAGATTTTAACGAATCATTCACATCCTCCCTTAGAAATAAAGATTTTGTTCTCTCAGTCACAATTTCCTAGGTTATGTGCTAAACTTGATGAACATTTTGTGTATCCTTGTTTGGATAAACTCGTTGAGTAGAATGTAATCAATGAATGTCTTGAAATATTATTCTCTATTACAGGTATTTTTAACCTCTTTCAATTGTACTATAGGTCAAATGATATGGATGGACTCCCTGGACGCCATGTTGTTTGCTTGCTCACCTCGTGTTGCTAGTCTGAAGGAATTAGAAGAAAGGAACCTTCATTTATCGGATATCCCTCTTCATGATATCACCAGAGATCTTATCCTCTTCAATCACCAAAGACTAGCAGAGATTGAAATCGGAAAGCAGCTTGAACAGAAGAAGGTATGGATTGTCTACAATGAAATTATATTGATAATAAGCATGATAAGATAACTCCTGTTCGAGCACATATCTAACATGTATGTTAGACTTGAACTTTGTATAATACACAAGTTTGGATCACATCTCAACACACAACCATATTCATATTCACAATATATAGCCATAGATGAACATTTGGGAGGGAGGCGAGTGTGGAAAGTCCGCTCAACTCCAACCTATCATTTCTCTACGAGAACCTGAAGACGGCAGATTCCAATCATTCCATTCACGATAAAGTGGCAGGCATGAGAGGGAACAAGAGTTGAGACCATAAAGGCAGCGCGAAAACTACTTAGACAAAAATCAACAGGTTTTACATTGTATTAATCATCAGTGTCCTTCTCTTCACACTCCTGATTAATTTAGGAAGAGCTTCGGGGTGCACTAGGAGAACTTGAAGCAGAGAAGAAGAAGACGGACATGCTTCTTCATTCCATGCTTCCGAGACAGGTGGCAGATCAGCTCAGGGAGGGCAAGAAGGTCGAGGCTGGTAAGTCTTTGCTGGTTCATGGGCTTGGGTTTAGGGCATGGTAAGGGTAATGAACGTGCTTCTCATCATATGCTTCAACAAAGACCATGATGACAAGTGGCCGATCAGCTCAGAGATGGCAACAAGATCGAGGCTAGTAAGTCTAGTAGTGGTTGGTTTTGTCACAAAGATTCTCTTTCAAAGACACCCTATGATTCCAAAACAGACCGCCGATGAGAAGCGGAAAGGCGAGGCTGTACTATTCGTCCGAATAACAGTAATCATAATTATTTAGGCCCTGTGCAGAATTCTGCGATAAATATTTAATTACTTGCAATATCGGTCCAGGTGATGTGATATATCCAAGAATTCTGAACCAAACCACACACTCTCTTTGCTGCTAGCGCCATCTTCTGGGCAAACAGGATGTGGCTCTTTTCCAAGGGTGGGAAGTGTACTTTTTACTAAAACCTGTTTTATGTATCACCGATTTCCATGTCGCTGCTATAAATTAAAAGTATGAGCTTCACATATTAATTTTTACAAAGAGACTTTGCAGTCTGAGGCCAAGTAAAAAATCATACATGTTTACCGTTTTTTTTTTTTTTTTTAATTTGTTTTGATTTTTTTTTTAAAGAAAAAAACATGAAAAACAATGCTAAAATGGATCTTTTTCTGATTTTAAAAATAAAAAATAAAAAAATTGTCGGCGGCCATCTTGAAAAATAGCCCGACTGACAGGGAAAATGTACCTAGCGGCCATTTTGAGCGGCCATTTTGAAAGAAAAAAAACAAAAAAGGGCCTCCTCCTTCCTATTTTTCAAAAAAACAGGACGCTAAACATGTTTTTTTTAAAATTTGGCCTAAGTATACTCTCGGGAAAGAGTGAAAGCACTTGTTGAGTAAACTAATTGAAGCACGCGTATGCTCCTTAAAGGCACTATGTCTCATTTGCAGGCCAAAAAAATGAAAAAGTTAAATTCCAACTGCATTTGAAAGATAATACTAATTTAGAACTTCCCTAAAAAAGGTGGGGCTTGAAAATGTCTTCAAGTGGGAAAATAACGACTATTAGTTGTCAAATCGACTTTAGGGCTATAGAGCCCAAAAGTAATAGTCTCGATTTTCAGACAATTGTACCGAATGGTCATACGTTTTATGCTGCGCAAAGATTCAATCAGTTTAATCTTGGCCATCACAAGAAGTGGGCTATTGATGTAGACAAATGCTCATGTACCCTTTACAACTCTTTTCATGTATGTTATTAACAAAGAAAAAAAAAGCCAGTCAGTCACTCAATAGTGTCTGACAGTGAAGTCTAGCAAGTAAACGGGATTTCTTGCATAATTTGAATATGAGGACACTGCTAACGTTTAAATTTCACAGATAGGACATACATGACATATTCATGATTCCTGCAAAGTTCTACAGAATTTGGGGTTGGCTGCAAAAGGGACATAGTATCTTTAAAGTACATTAATTTTCATACCTGCTATGTCATTTACACAAATTTGAGAGAGGTACAAACAGATTTTGTATCATACTTTACATAGACTGTGCATGTAGGTCCTATGTAGAAAGAACAATCACAGTATTATCTTGACTCCTTGATTTTCTCCTTTTCTTATCTATACAAGGCGAGTTTGAGATGGTCACAATTCTTTTCAGTGATATCGTGTCTTTCACCAATATTTGTGCTGAATGCCGTCCAATTGATATTGTCAACATGCTCAATGCTCTCTACACGAGATTCGACAAACTCACTACAGTACACGATGTCTATAAGGTAAAGTTATCAATACAATAAATGATAGTTAGGAATGTTACCATTGTCGTACTGTTAACAATGTCAACTATTTTTAATTGCCTTTACACCTCTGGCTGTAAAAATAGGATAGCCCTACATACCAGGACGAATAATTATAAATAATATCAAATATTTATATAGCGCACATATCGACCATACAAGGTGCTCAAGGCGCTCCGAATATTACCCGGCTCTGCTAGGCTGTCGATTTCGGCGCTCACAGCATTCAAAGAGTTCCTTCCTACCGGTACCCATTTAACACCTGGGTGGAGAGTGGCAAATGTAGAATGAAAGAGAGAAGCTATTGGTACCCTCCCATGTAGCAAAAGTTTGAGCTGGTCACCCAACTGAGCCCACCAGGCTGTGCACCTAGGGCAAAAGAAAAAAGAAAAAAAAATCGTTTAAAAGTTAGTGTAATAAGAAAACTGTTAAAGGGGTTCACTTAAAGTTCGATTCAGTACCTCACAATTAACATTCCTATTTCTTTCCTAATATAAATTCAAACGAATCCCTTTGCCTTCTAGAATGCACTTCTCCATATTCAAATAGCCCCGAGTCCGCGATTGGGGCTTCTTTGTTGCATTACTGATAAGTGATTTGTATATTTTTTCCCGTTTATCTTATTTTCACTGTGTTTTCTATTGCAATGTTCATTTATGAATTTCTGTATTTGTTAGTTCCATTTAATGTGTTTTTTTTTCCTTATTCAGGACCATGATGAAAACAGCCCTGGTAATCATGCTTTTTATCCTTTATGAATATGTTTCAGTAAATGAATCAACGAATTGATATTTGCCATTTATGACGGAAATGAACTTCAAATTAAGAGGGCACTCTAATACATTGCGTATGTCCTTTGGCAAGACATTGATCTACATTTGCCACACTCCACCCAGGTGAAGTAAATGGGTACCTGGTAGGAATTTATTCCTTGAAATGCTAGATCGCCGTATGGCAGCCGTGCTAAAGCCAGGGTAATAATCGGGAGCGCCAGGGGGGTCAAATCTGACCGACATGAGCGCTATAAAAGAACCCACTATTATTTATTTATTTATTACATTATGTATTTCATCCCGTTACGACAGGTGGAGACGATAGGCGATGCTTACATGGTAGTAGGAGGTCTGCCGATCCCTATGGCTTCACATGCTGCTAGAATAGCTAACCAAGCTCTAGGTATGATGTTCATATGCAAGGAGGTCATGTCTCCGGTTACTCGAGAGCCTATCGGGGTGAGTAATTACTTACAGGTCAACTTATTTATTGCAAACGAAAAGTTCAATAGAGACACTTAACGTCTGTCTGCACTAGTTTGGACAGGATGGATTAGACCTCCCTGCAAGGTCACTGGCAGGTGGTTATCTCATTAGATCAGCTCTCAATTATTAAACATAATAAATAGAGGATCATGTGGGACCAACGGGCACCGCTTAGGCATTGTTTGCTATATAGAGGGCGCAAGTAGCTACAAGTAGTGCAGTCCCACTTAAAGTTTCCAAATTGCCGACCCTAGTATGTCTGATTTTTTGTTTTGGTTCTCACTTCTTAGGTGTTCTGGTCCACATGACAGCCATAGTTTGGCTAGTACTTCTCCTTGGCCTCTCAGTCCTTAGATTCTTAGATTGTTGGGTCATTACACGATTCATCACTTCTATTAAACATACTCAATCTATTCCAATCTTATAACACATTATCATAAACAGAAGAAAATGAAATTTGTGGTCTTTTCTTGTGTTGATTGTAGATTCGTGTTGGTATTCATTCTGGTCCTGTTGTATCTGGAGTGGTCGGGGAGAAGATGCCTCGATACTGTCTCTTTGGTGATACAGTCAACACAGCTTCCAGGATGGAGAGCCATGGTCTTCCCAGTAGAATCCATCTCAGCTGCCATACTCACAGGTAAAAACCAACATCCATCTTCTAGGTTTGTATGGTTATATATCAAGCATAATATGAAACCAACGTATCTCCTGGTCAATATGCCAGGGAAAATTATTGAAAACAAGACAAGAAAAAATGCCTTTAAGGAGTCTATGGCATTACAAATTATTTCGGGATTTTTTTTTTTTTAACTGAAGGTAATCCATGGAAACTTATAACAATCTTCGGACATAAAATACGTTCTACCACGATGGAACGTTTCCCAATATCATAATGTTTACCTGATACCCACTTGATTTCAATACTATTATAAAAAGGGGGGGTGCGGAGGCAACCACCCCGTACTGGTTGTAAATTCCCCATCGTTCCGCTGTCGGTATAGGCATTGTATTCCTTTTCTTTTAATTCTCCGTCAATTATAGTCAGAAGGCCCATTAACACATCCAAAAACCACTTGAAAAAAAAATCGTGATTTTTCGGTAGACCATTCACACTACTGAAAAAACCCTGATATACTGATTAATTGTGTGTGAGTAGTGCGCATGCGCGACTCGTCGATGCCCTGCATGCCTTAGCACAGAAGCGAGAAGAGTCACGTGCGCAAAAATAGGTATATTACAGAAATTTGCTTTTACACTTCAAACAATCGTATATATAAAAAAAAACATAGGCAGGCGTTTAAAAAAGAACACACTCCACAGGTGGATTTTTCGGTTCCGATGTTTCGTCGTTTTTGCCGGTAATTGCATAGCAACTAACCAGACACCGGAATGTGAGAAATTCAAATATTTTTGGTTGCAGTGTAAATACAGCTAAGATTTGTTCTCTTTGCTTTTATTTCCCGATCTAGATGTCTTCAAGGTTACCCGTTCCGTTTCAGCGAGAGAGGAGAGATCGTGGTGAAGGGTAAAGGAACCATGCGAACCTATTTCCTTGAAGAGAACGGAGGGGCTGGTTTGGATGAGATCATGGGTAAGGGCCAGTCAAAGGCTAGTACACCAGAGAAGACGGATAGATGTAAGTCACCACCAGAGACACCAACCAATAACATGCCCAACGGTAAGATTCAAACCTATTTAGCTTTCGACACTTTTTACAATTTAACATTATTTTTATATCTGCATATATCGTCAGAATATGCCCTAAAGCACCATCAGGGGCAAGTTCTTTGAAACCTCGAGAAGTATTAGTGGACATCCATTTTGAATGCGTGTTGATTCTGTAACACGCGTTTTTCTTGTATTTCCAAGAATTCTGATTTTGTAGATTTCCAGAAACTGGTGCGAGCATTATTTCCTGGCCAATGAAAGATGTAATGCCATTACAAATCTGCCAGCATTTTCAATCGCTCTCACTTTTGCCTTTTAAAACTTGCTCTTTTTTCGTTGTAAAACTTGCACCATTTTATAAGCAACACTATACCAGAAGTAATACAAAGACATTTATGATGCACTGTCATGACAATTTTGCCAGCATTTTCAATCGCTCTCATTTTTGCCTTTTGAAACTTGCTCTTTTTTCGTTGTAAAACTTGTAACGTTTTAGAAGCATCACTTCCAGAACAAATACAAAGACATTCAAAATGGCAAAGAAAGAATCAATTATAAATGCTTATTCTTTTCATTCGTACTCATGCTTGAATGTTTGACAAAGCGTCACCAGAATCAAGTGTGCAATGTGTGTGCATTCCAAAACTATTGACATATTTATGACATTTTGCGTACTATTTTCTTTTTTTCTGGCGGTGACATTGAGTCATTTTTGTTAAGTACATTCTACACATCGTTAAATCTTGATTTCTTTCTTCACATCAATTATTACGAATGTCATATTATGTGAAACCACTTCTCTTTCTATTTGCTTTGCATTATATTTTAGTACATTTATATGCAATTAATCATATCTATTTTTTTTACACATTCACGTTTGATTTGAAATGAATCCGTCTTCCCATCAGTCAGACTGATTTTGTATATACTTGAAAGACACACTCCTTTTTTAACTTCACGCTGCAAAAAACACACGTGTTTTAATTTGATTTGCATGTTTTCACTTTCTACTTTCGGTTTTATTGCAAAATAAGCGATTTTCGGCAGACATACGTTTTATGCCATAATTTGACCAAGGACTGACATTGTTTTGAAACACACTGCTAAAGAATGAGAATGAGAATTAAAATCACACCCAATGGCAGCATAATCTTAAAGCTTGCTAGAAATAAGAAAGTCAACAAATATCAACAAATCAATTCTGAGAATTATTAGATGTGATGTGACTTAGACTTTGTTATAAATCACACATGCTGTAGATGTAGATTATATTGCAAACACAGGGAAATACTAGCATACCGATTCCCGGGATCTTAAGATTGCTCCTATTACCTACCTCCTTTTCTTTGTCCCGTTTTTTGTTTGTTTGATAGGGGTGTCCACCTTCCACCATAATAGTACAGTGGTCGTGCCTATGTGGTATCCCGATAACGACATGACAAGCGGAAGTGCTATCCACATTTCACCGCCAATATTCCCCAACGCTGGCAGTAATGATTCAGGTAGTACACATACATCAGCTGGAACCCCTTCCTGATCCCATGTCACCTTCATCACGTGATCTCTTAACCTGGTGCGCACGCGCATGATAATACACGCGTCCATAACACACACCCACATTTTATTACACCCTCTCCCGCGTTGGTGGAAAGAGTTAGGGACAATGCTTATAATGTTAGAGTATGGTAACAACTATGACTTTTGATGCTATATGTGAAATAATAACATATTTTTTGACAAATTATTCTCAAATTAGAGAGAATGTGAACTAACATGCCACAGTAATTATCGTCAGCTCTTTTGTAATTTCTAGGGTAGAAGGAGAAAAAAATGTATTCTCTAAGTATTCATAATTTATGTTTTTGATTCAACATTTATGTTTCTGATTCCTATAAATAAATTGACGATATTTTTTTCATTTTGATGAGACAAAACAACCTACAAACACGGACCCTATTTGAAATAAGCCTTACATAGATGAAACTTACTTTGATATAATTCACGAAGCCTGAGGAGGGAGAAAGAATCTGTTAAAATTAAATGATGAACAAAAAAAAAGCCCAATATATTAAAACAAATTGGTAGTTATTTCATATTTATCATGCGCGCGCATCAGTGGAGAACATGTGACTCTTGCCCGTTCATGTGACGTCTTCTTGCGGTATCTTGACCTTGGACCTTTGACCCTGCATGTATAGACGTATTACCAATATTTTTCTTGTGTATGCATGCTAGCTGGATTGTGTCCATACATCAAATTATGTCTTGACTATTTCAATTGTTAAATCGGTGTACATGCTACGTGTATATTTAAATATTGGAACTATAGAGGAGTCGTGATACTGTGGTTCCTACACTTGACTCTCAATACAAGGGTTAAGGGTTCGAATCCCAACCGGGCACTAATGTCCTATCCACTCTCCACCCATTTGATAATGGGTCCCTGGCAATGATGGGTTAATAATAGTTGCAGTGCCAGCACTGATGCGGTTATCCTTAGTAAATAAGACCCTGGGTCTTATTTACTAAGGATAACCGCATTGGGCCAATTGTTTTCGACCTGAGGTTTTATACCGTTGGTAATTGAAATAGAAGAAAATGCTGATGTATGGACACATTTCCTTTTCCACATTTTCGAATACCTTACTTGCATGTACCTTGTTTGTTTTGAAAAGTATCCCTTTAGTATTTGCTAGTGGGTTGAGCTTTATGTTTCCCTGTTTAATTATGCCAGAACGATTCAAATGATATATTCAATTTTGTGTGTTCTGTACTTTTGCCTTCCGATCGGTTGTGGCGTATCTAGCATATGATAAAGCGGGCCTCCATCCCTCCCGACCCCCCCCCCCCCTTCCCGCCCAGTTTAAAACCCACTCAATCAACAGGGATGCTCCTAACGGGAATCCCAGATGTATCATTCCCATTCCCTTGAAGGGAAAATTCGGACGCACCTCCCCCTACTCTGGCCCCTCGTTCAATTCTTGACACGCCACTACTTTAACAGTTGTTTTTAGTCGGCGCAGTCGCAAACATTGTTTGCGAACTTTACCCTTTCATTCCAAATAGGTTTAGCCCATAATGCAGTAATTCCATTCAACTTCATCATACATTTCTGCCACAAAAACATGGGGAATCATATGCAGTTCCTAGTCCACAATGTCCACAATGTTTGGTCCGTGTATGCGACCTCGCTAGAAGTCCATAAATTGTGGTCATAATTATATCTCAAATACAAGTTTTATTTCGTTTTTCTTACGTTCTTTTTGTTTTTTTCTTCCTCGCTATGAACCGTTCTTTTCAAAGGCATATAGTTGCTTATTTTGATTTAAGTTGCAAGGGGTATAATTATGCTTAGGCCTAGTTGATACATTATCGATATACATAAAGTTGTACTACATAAGTGCCGTTGTTTTTCCTTATTCAGATTTCTTCTGAGCATGTATGTGTTTGTTTGTTATATGCCAAAGTTAGACATTTATATTCTATGCCAAATAAATGTTAGATAGAGAGGTGTATCTCGAGTAATGTATATATTTGGTCTCTCTTGTAATGTTAAACTTTTAAAAGCTGCAGTTGTTGCAATTCATCACTATGACAAAGTAGGATTATTATAAATGCATACCACATGATGCTATTTTCTTACCATGGTTTATTCACTACCATTAGAATCACAGGATCTTTAGTTCTGCCATCTATATGATGAATGAAAAGAAGGAGGGCTATTTAAGAGATGACAAAATAGTATTTGGCTAAAATCGAATTTCAAAGCAATGGTAGTGAAGCTTGTCTTTGTATGTGACATTGCGTTTAGATCATGTAATAATCTATATTTCCAAACAAATTAAATGAGGTTGTACATTTCAAAATCACAAATTGCTATGGTCGTAAACAAAAGACATTTACACTATCATTACATTACCTCCCCCAAAATGATGTTTAAAGTATTGTGGTTTTCTCATAAAGAGTATGGCGCTTTTACAGGGTAACGTTCTTTATATTTTGTTTTTAGTGCATATTTATGATAAAAATGAGTTTTATACGAGTCGATTTGCTTTATACTTCTTTTTGTCTCTCAGTGTTTCGCTTCTGTTCTATATCTACCAATATAGAACGTTTTGTATGATACATTTTATTGAAAAGACCAACACAAATTGTCATATCTAACTTTGTAAATGTATTATATATAATTCAAGATGGATGAAATAATTGTGTTTATTATGTAAAAGAATCATTTCATTCTGTTTAGTGTAAATATTCTGATTACTCTATGCATGTTAACTTATTGTATTCAGATTGTAGAGTATTCTTACACACTTATTGTTCATTTCTGATCTGCACCTCCCGTTTTTACAGAGTTATATATGCATGTATTTATTATTTCTATGACATATGAGGGCACGTGATGTTGCTTGCAATAAACGTTTCTTAAGTACATTTATACTTTCTTTATTTTGCTTTTCTTTTGATTTGCTTTGATTTACAATGCTTTGTTTTTAAGCTCGTTTGCCGTGGCCTGTATTGTTAATGCTGTCGTGAATGTACAATGCCCCGTGCCTTTCCTCTTTTTACCTCAATGAATCACATTTCTTGAAAAACGCTCTTGTGCGATGGTTGCTTGAACATGAGAAGACGATACAACCTTAAAGGGACTTGGTAACATTGTTCAGATGAGAGATGATGGTGCTAAGGTAGTGACTTCAATGCTAGATGTACAATTAAAGATAATCTGAAAATTTGAGTGAAAACGGATCATTATTCATGGTACAAATTGGGAAAAACTGATCTGATCGATTCCTTAATTCTCCCAACTATATTATTACAATTTAATTACATTTTAGGTGAATGGAAATCGTCCCAGAGCGATGACATGGCTCTACATTCCATTCCAGACATTTAAGTGTTGACACATTTGTGTATAACCTGTTTTATGTCTTTCTTTCATGAAAAAACGATTGGGAAAATTTAAAAATGGTTGGGAGAATTTACTGTTAATCACTGTTAGAGGGGGTCATACATCGACGCCTTCAGAGAAAACCATAGATATCTTCGTGGTTTGAGAATTTGTTCAGGATTTTTTTGCATGTCAGAGGGTTAGTACAGTTGAAGGAATATAATAAGTAATATTTTATACAAAAATTAAGCAATTTTTTTCATCATCCTTCAACAATGTTACCAAGTCACTTGAAGTTTAACTGTCGTCGAAAATAGCTATTGTACGAACATTGTCGAATGAGGGCGCCAACGAACCTGCCGAGGCAAATGGAAAACAGAATTTAGACAAACAAAACAAATAACCAAACGGAAACCACATTCAAACAAATGTATCACTACAAGCAGGGTTTTGAATTACAGAGTAGGCGATATAGCAGGTGATATCGTTATTTGTTAGCTAAAATTGGCTTTTTTTTTTTTTTTTTTAGAGACGTCGTCCAAAACTTTAAATGATAATAATGATAGTGGTTTATTTTAAATGTCTGTCAAACTTGACTCTCCTGGCGCTGCACGTCACGTTCCCAATGCTACAACGCCCTCTTTTGGTCGTGCTCTGAAAATAGCGCATGCTGATTAGAAGAATACCAACCGCCACCAACAATGGCATTGTCAGATTAAAAGGGTCGTAGATTTAATTTTATTCATACAGCCCATATGTAGCAGAGTGACGTCAATGAAAACAAATGTGATAAAGAAAGGAACTATTTATAAAACAAAATAAGACGAACGATGCTGCTGCTCCTGATGATGATAACATTAGCAATAACTATAATAAAGACGATAATAATAATGATAATGATAATTGGATAAACGAAATTATTACTGTTATTCCTTATCAAAGCGGAGAAGGTATCGGTTTTGATTAATACATCGATGAAAGAATACGCCAAGAAAGCCAAGTGTAGTGGAATGAAGTAAAATTGTAAAAGACGTACATTTTTAAATGAATCTCGTAATATAGGATATTTTGCCTGGATAATTTAATGGCCGATGCCATATTCGATATGAAGAGGAGTATGATTAAAATAACTAGCTTGAAATTTGCAACCGACGAAAATATGTAAAACATTGTCAAAATAGTGTGACTTGAAAATTCATTTCAACCGTTTAATAAGGCCGGAACACAGTACTCTATTGCGGTTTTATACACTATAGTTCACATATATGCTGCGACTGTAATAGGACTGCTGGATAACTCTGGAACACAGTCATTGTCTACCAAAATATGATTGATTAGTATTCATATACAATGTAAAGAGAGCCGATATCAATGTTACTTCTTGATTGGTTCCTTGGTTAAACAAGAACATTAACAAATAACAAGAAAGATGTCTGAATATACAACCCTGTAGGTAAACAAAGCAACGAGAAGCGCCAATGATCGCAATATTCCGTCATATATCATGTTGTTCTTCGATATATTATCTGTTCATGGATGTAGCTTCATATAATGTAATTAACCGGTTTGTTGACCTTACAGAGTCATCAAAGGAAGCATCGAACATGGTTAACGCAGCATGTGCTGCTGCATCCCGACCCGGAGCAGACGGCCAGGATTCACGGGCTGATGAGGTGGACAACGTATCAAGCCGTAGAAAATATCTCGGTCAAGGCTCAGCGAAAACTCGTCCGTTACGTAGCGGTCGACCTCCTGACATCCGGGGCTCTAAGACGTGTGTGCTTTTATGACGTACACGGCTTCCATTGGAGGATTTTGAACATTGGATTTCAAATATAAATTTCAAAGAGATATATGCACGCGCCATATTCTAGCCAATCAACCACAACTGATAATGAGTCCGAATTATATTTTTCATTTATTATATTCATCATTATTTTGTTCGTACAATTTGTACTGTCTTTATAGATAACAGCACTAATATTGATCCCATATGTCAAAAATGAAACCTAACTTATTGTCTAAAATAATTTTGAATAGACAGGGGTAATTTCCCAAAGTGTAGAATAGTTTTTTTTTACGCATAGGTTACTGAATGGGTAAAAAAGAATTATCGGCACAAACTGTTTGTCGAATTCCCATTTATGAGACTAAATTAATTATAATTATTGCATATCCGAACACAACCTACCAATAATTTATCAAGAGAAATGCTGGAAATACATATTTTCTTAAAAAACACGACATGTGACTAATTTTTCCCCCTTACCTTTTTTTTTCCAACAATAATAATCAAATCAACGTAATACAACTCGCAGTTGAATTCAGGTGACATAACAGAACATATCAATGCCTTGCTAGAAAAATTAGCAAAGACACTTTCACTCCTCGCTACATAACTTGGATTCACGTGCCTACTCTCATCATGACAATTGAGGCACTTACGAAACAGTTGATATCATTCTGTTTCAATCAATACTACACTTATTGCTAAAGGTAAACACCTAATTGTTGCTTACAAACTGTGACCTTTTGACTCGACTGCGTGCCACATATATTGCTATTGGATAACCCACTTTTTCGCACAAGTACTAAGAAAACCTCAACCCACGTTG